GAAGAAGATAAAGGACTATAAATGTCAGTAGGTTTATTTTATCAACTACAAATTAATGAATGTACACAAAAAGAAAGGATCCTGTATATGAAGGTGGACAGTACTCTCAAAGATGCTAATAATAGAATGATTATCAAAGTAAGGCTGGAAAGTTATTGGGAACGGTTGGTATTAGCACTCAGATAAGGAACTGAGGAAAGAAATTAAGAATGGTATCTAGAAATGACATCTTAGGTTTATAAAGAGTTCACACCACTGGTCACTACAGAAGTCTACATGTGGCTGGGCATGGTGGCTCATCCCTGAAATCCCAGCTCTTTGGGAGGCTAACGCGGGCAGATCACTTGAGGCCAGGAGTTCAAGACTAGCCTGGCCAACATGGTGAAACCACATCTCTACTAAAAATATCAAAAAATTAGCTGGGTGTGGTGGCACATGCCTGTAGTCCCAGCTACTTGGGAGGCTGAGGCACAAGAATCACTTGAACCTAGGAGCCGGAGGAAGTTGCAGTGAGCCAAGATCGCGCCACTGCTCTCCAGCCTGGGTGACAGAGTGAGACTGTCTCAAAAAAAAAAAAAAAAAAAAGGCTACATGCTTTCTAATTTTTTTTTTTTTAGACAGGTCTCATTTCATTGCCCAGGCTTGACTACAGTGCTGTGATTGTGGCTTACCGCAGCCTTGACCTCCCAGGCTCAAGTGATTCTCCCACCTCAGCCTCCCAAGCAGCTGGGATTACAAGTGTGTATGTGCCACTACACCTGACTGGTTTTTTTTGTTTTTTTTTTGTTGTTGTTGCCCAGGCTGGAGTGCAGTGGCATGATCTCGACTTACTGCATCCTCTGCCTCACAGGTTCAAGCAATTCTCCTGCCTCAGCATCTTGAGTAGCTGGGACTAAAGGCTTGTGATATGACATCTGGCTAATTTTTGCATATTTAGTAGAGATGAGGTTTCACCATGTTGGCCAGGATGGTCTCGATCTCCTGACCTCAAGATCTGCCCACCTTGGCCTCCCAAAGTACTGGGATTACAGGCATGTGCCACCATGCCCGGCCTAATTATTATTATTATTTAAAATAGAGATTAGGTCTCACTATGTTGTCCAGGCTGGTCTCAAACCCCTGGACTCAAGCAATCTTTCTGCCTTGCCTTCCTTACGTGCTGAAACTACAGATATGAACCACTGTGTCCAGCTCTGAAAATATCTTTGAGTAATATTTTAGAGAGATCAACCATTCACTGAGTAATCATTAATAGGGCCCTGACCCCTTCTCATCTGTCTGGTTCCCTTCCACTAACCTTGCCAGTGTCTCCTTAATACTTCTTCCTCCATCACCCATGGTTCTTCTTCTTGCTCCAATTTGAAAATCACATCAGGTTTGGTGAATGGATAGCCTGTCAAAGGGAAGTTACATAGATCTGGGCATACATACTAGGAACAAAGAACCACCCAAAAATTGAGGCTGCCCAGGAAAACCAGGCTTTCTAAAGGGTAAGAAATTGTGGCTTCTGGGGATGCTGTCCCCTTTTGCTCTGAAAACTGCAGCATGGACATTCACATGAGCAAAAGCATCCCAAGGCCAAGCTCACTCTAATATTTAAAAGGTCTACATATTTCAGAAACATGGCAGGTGGGGTGGAGGGAAGGTACTTTCTTTCCAGAGTTTGAATTATAGTAAATTACTCTTACCCACTGTGATTAAGTTGTTATAGTTTTCTAGCATCACGTTCCGGTACAGGTTTCTCTGAGCAGGATCCAATCGCTTCCACTCCTCCTGGGTGAAGTCAATAGCCACATCTTTGAATGTCACTGTTCCCTGTAACAACACAGTCCTACTCAATCTGAAGTCATCCATCTTAGGTGATCGTAAACAAAACATATTGAACCTTGTTCTGATGTTAAAACCCCAGCATATTAGCAGCATCCTGTCAGTTTATATTCATTCGCTAATTTAGCAAGCACTTTTTTTTTTTTTTTGAGACAAAGTCTTGCTCTGTCACCCAGGGTGGAGTGCAGTGGCATGATCTCAGCTCACTGCAACTTCTGCCTCCCAGGTATAAGCGATTCTCCTGCCTCGGCCTCCCAAGTAGCTGGGAAAACAGGCACGCGACACCATACCCAGCTAATTTTTGTGTTTTTAGTAAAGACAGGGTTTCACCATATTAGCTAGGCTGGTTTCAAACTCCTGACCTTGTGGTCCACATGAGGGACCTTCCAAAGTGCAGGGATTACAGGCGTGAGCTACTGTGCCTGACCTAAGCACATGTCTTTAATATCTACCGTGAGTTAAAGGGGTTCCGGTACAGGTTTCTCTGAGCAGGATCCAATCGCTAAGGTACCAATTTATACTGAGTGTGAAAGAAATAGAAAAATAAAACTTTAACCAAGTTAAGTGGTTTGAGATCTCACAAGATACCAGAGACAGGAAAAAATGAAAGCAGGATTTAGACAGAATGATAGGTGAAATCTGTGGTATTGTGGGACATGCAACTGGAGATACCCACTGATTTAGCAGTTGTTCATGAGATCAGGAGAAATCCACATTGGAAATGAAGATTTATTGGCCATCAGCCTATAGTATGTGTCTGCAGCCATGAAAATGGGATCTGACTGCTCAAAGTGTTTACATATACTGGAGAAGGGGCCACAGACAGAATCTCAGACAACCACGAAAAAAAATACCCTGATAACAATTTGTTTTTTAATGGTCAGGAATAGGATTGTAACTGAAACTGTATATTTAAAAAGCTATAGCATGGCTGGACATGGTGGCTCATGCCTGTAATCCCAGCACTTTAGGAGACAGAAGCGTGAAAATCCCTTGGGCCCAGAAGTTCGAGATGAGCCTGGGCAAGGTGGTGAAACTCTGTCTGCACAAAAAAAATACAAAAATTAGCCAGGTGTGGTGGTATGCACCTGTAGTCCCAGCTACTCAGGAGACTGAGGTAGGAGGATTGCTTAAGCCCGAGAGGTAGAATGTAGAACCCTAATGCACTCTTCCTAGTTCAAAACAGAAATGCTCAAATGTCTATGACCATAAGAAAAAATCTTAAATAGCACTGGAAAAAAGGGAGCAATCCCTATTTCCTATCTTTTCAGGATTTTCTACCAGAGACTGGGTGACAAAAAAGAAAGTCTCCAATAGCTAGTTCACAATGTTTCTAAGAATTTGTTTTGAGGTTCTAAAAGGAACCTATGAGCATGAACATCCACTAACACTAAGGATTCAGAGAAAGCTGTGGTACTGATGGGAGATCCTTTCCTGAAACTCTTTACTGCTAAAAATCATGACATTGGAAATAAACATGTTCAAGAAGCAAAAGGCAAAGTGTCATAGGAAAAAACTCCTGAAATCCAGGAATTTTTTGAACATTTCCCCTCCCCTGGGATGAAGATCCAAATAAGCGTGGATAAAGCACTTGGTGAGGAAGTGGGACTGAGGAGAAAGCATGATGTGGAAATCTGGCCCTGGTATAATAGTTTCACCAATTACAGGGAAGGACATAAGATGTATTCTTGCTGGGACTACCTCAGCTGCAGATTTTTTCCTCAGGAAGTTGTATTTTCTTTTTTTTGAGATGGAGTCTTGGTTTGTAGCCCAGGCTGGAGTGCAGTGGTATGATGTTGGCTCACTGCAACCTCTGTCTCCCAAGTCCCGGTTCAAGCAATTCTCCTGCCTCAGACTTCCGAGTAGCTGGAGTTACAGGCTTGCGACACCATACCCAGCTAATTTTTGTATTTTTAGTAGAGACAGGGTTTCACCATGTTGGCCAAGCTGGTTTTGAACACGTGACCTTGTGATCCCCCAGCCTCAGACTCCCAAAGTGTTGGGATTACAGGTGTGAGCCGCGGCACTCGGCTAGGAACTTGTATTTTCTTCAGGAGGTTCAGATCATTAAACTACTAAATACATTTTAAAAATCAGCATCACAGATTTTATAAGAAAATCCTAATTGCCCCTAGCTCAAGAGTGAAAAGATCCCAAAATAAATCATTAAAATACATTTGAAGAAAATACTTGAGAAAAAGAATGTAGTAAATGCAAAAATAGAAACAATTTAAAGTGAGAAATTTAGAACTTATATACATAAATCACCACATTTAAAAGCTGGAGCTAGGTACAGTGGCTCACGCCTATAATTCAAAGCACTTTGGGGATCCTATGTGGGAGAACCGCTTGAGGCCAGTTCAAGGTCAGTATGGGCAACACAGCAAAACCCCATCTCTACCAAAAAAAAAAAAAAAAAAGCCATATATGGTGTCTCTGGCTATAGTCCCAGCTACCTGGGAGGCTGAGGTTGGAAGACTGCTTAAGCCTGGGAGTTTGTGGTTGCAGTAAGCCATGATCTCACCACTGCACTCTAGCAGCCTGGGCGATACAGCAAGACCCTGTCTCTTAAAAAAAAAAAAAGTTATATTTTAAGAATAATGAATTAGGCAAATGTTTAATAGTTTAATGAAGAAAAATAAACATCCCAAATTAGAAAAAACAATTAAAACAAATCAGTATTTAAAGTGGTATGTATCTGTGGTTGAAATTTTCTTTGGTTTTTTTTTTTTTTTTTTTTTTTTTTGATGGAGTGTCGCCCTGTTGCCCAGGCTGCAGTGCAGTGGCACTATGTTGGCTCACTGCAATCTCCGCCTCCTGGGTTCAAGCGATTCTCCTGCCTCAGCCTCCCAAGTAGCTGGGACTACAGGTGTGTGACACCACACCCGGCTAACTTTTGTATTTTCAGTAGAGACAGGGTGTCACCATGTTGGCCAGGCTGGTCTCGAACTCCTGACTACAAATGATCCAACCGCCTCAGCCTCCCAAAGTGCTGGGATTACAGGGGTGAGCCACTGCACCCAGCCTGAAATTTTTAAAATCATTATGAAATGAATAGGTTAAAAGAAAACACAGCCTACGACTTGGGATTTTCAAAGAAAAAGAAAATCCCAACAGTGCAATACTGTAGCACACACTGATATTCTACTCCAATATTTATTCTGTCTTCCCAGTTTCTGGCCCAAGTTCTGCTGAAATAAGTATAATATGTTTATATGACAAAGTTCTGGACAGTGAGATGAAAGGACTGCATGCAGCTGTTGCTAAGTGAGCATAAGGGCACGAGTATACCATTTCTCCCAAGTTTCCACCTTCCTGTAGACTGGTAAGTAAATGTGATGGTTAGAGCAAATACGGCTATTTGGGATAATGAGGTAGAAGCCAACTACTGAGAATGGCAGAGCAATAAAAGAGAAAGAGTTTGGTTCTTCTGCCCTTTGGAGCTATAGGACCAGCCTTGAACTTCAACATGAGAGACAAACTTCTGTCTTGTTTAAGCAAAGGTTATCTGGGCTTTCTATCACAGGTAGTCAAGTGTAATAGAAACAGATTAATAGGTTATGCCAGATCTGGCCATCCTTTGGCAGCTATGAAGCTGTGCTGCTCAAATCCTCTTTCAGGGAATCCACTGAGAGAAGCCTAGTTGGCAGCCTCTAGCTGCTCCACTTTCGTGCTGATGCCATGATACGCCAACACTGCCTCCAGCCAAAGACTCAGCATAGTGAGGCTATTAAAGTCTGGACTATTGCATCTGATACGGTTTTACTCTAGTGGGAAAGCTTTTGTCAGCAGCTCCCCTTTGGCCTGGCTGAGACTTTGTCACAGCTTCAGGGTGGTCTGAGTTGGCAGAAAAAAAGAATTAGTAAACTTGAAGACAGATCAATAGAAATGATGCAATTTGAAGATGAGACAGAAATAAGCATGAAGAAAAGTGAATACAGGCTGGACACAGTGGCTCATGCCTGTAATCCCAGTGCTTTGGGTGGCCAAGGTGAGAGGATCACTTCAGACTAGGAGTTCAAGACCAGCTTCAGCAGGATGGTAAGGCCCTATTTCTACCAAAAAAATTTCAAAAATTAGCCCAGTTTGGTGGCACATGCCTATAGTCCTAGCCACTCAGAGAGGTTGGAGGATTGCTTTAGTCCAAGAGTTCAAGGATTATAGTAAACTATAATTGTGTTACTGCACTTTAGCCTGGGTGACAGAGTTGAGACCTTATCTCAGAAAAAGAAAAAATAGACTCATAGCCTCAGAAATGTGAGCGCAATAAGTGCATCAACATACGCATATATATATATATATTTTTTTGAGATGAAGTATCGCTCTGTCACTCGGGCTCGAGTGCAGTGGTGTGATTTCAGCTTGCTGCAATCCCTGCCTCCTGGGTTCAAGCTATTCTCCTGCCTCAGCCTCCTGAGTAGCTGAGACTACAGGCGTGTGCCATCATGCCTGGCTAATTTTCGTATTTTTAGTAGAGACAGGGTTTCACCATGTTGGCCAGTCTGGTCTTGAAGTCCTGACCCCAGGTGATCCACCCACCTTGGCCTCCAAAAGTGCTGAGATTACAGGCTTGAGCCACCACACCCAGACAACATACACATAAATTAAATACAAGTTACAGAGGAGAAAGAGAGGAGAAAGAAAAGGATAGAAAAATATTCAAAGAAATAATGGCTGAAAACTTTCTGCATTTGATGAAGAACACTAACGTACATATTCAAGCTCAATGAATTCCAAGTAGGGTAATGCAACAAGGTACACACCTAGACATATCATAGTCAAAATGTTGAAAATAAATATAAAGAGAAAAATCTTGAAAACAGCAAGGGAAAACAATTTAATACTTTCATCCACCACAATAAAACTAATAACTGACTTCTCATCAAACACAATGGAGGACAAATAGCAATGGAAGAACATATTCAAAGTTCTGGGGAAAAGAAAAAAAAAAAAAACGATCAGAGAGGAAGCAGAGAAAGAAGGCCCAACAGAAGCCTCAACTGATCATCCTCCTCACAGGAACACAAACTCAACAACTATCCACACAAGAAAAGCATCTTTATCATAACCAAAAATCAAGTCAGCAATCACAGTATCTGGTTTTAACTTAATCTAACTGAAAGAGGCACTGAAGAAGGTAGGAAAGACAGTCTTGAATTGCTGATGCCATCCCTCCCCCTCAGCAGTGGCCAGTGGTGCTGAGAGAGAATCTGTGCACTTGGAGGAGGGAGCAGAGTGATTGTAAGACTTTGCATTGCAACTCAGTGGTGCCCTGTCACAGCGGAAGGCAACCATGCAGAACTCAGTTGGTGCCCACAGCAGAAGTATTTAGACCAGCCCCAGTGGGTCTAGAGGAATTGTCCATCATAGCAGTAGGAACCTGAAGTCTGGAAAGCCTCACCTCTATGGGCTAGAGGGCTATAGGATCCTAAATGAACTTGAAAGGCAGTCTAGGCCACAATTGCAATTCCTGGGAAAGTCCTGGTGCTTGCTGTGCTGGGCTTGGAGCCAGTGGACTAGGGGGGCATGGGACCCAGTGAAACACCAGCCAGGGTAGCCAAGGCAGTGCTTGTGCCACCCTTTCCCTAGCCTGAGGTAGTGCAGCTTGCGGGTCCAGGAGGGACCCCTTCCTTCCAAATGAGAAGAGGAGAGGGAAGACTAAAGAGGACTTTGTCTTGTACTTTGGATACCAGCTCAGCCACAGTATGATAGGGCACCAGGCAGAGGCCTCCATTCCATGCCCTAGTTCCTGGTTGAAATTAGATACACCCTGGACCAGAGGGAAGCCCACTGCCTTGAGAGGAAGAACTTAATCTCAGCAGCATTCATCACCTACTGACTAAAGACACCTTGAGCCCTGAACAGTCGGCAGTGGAAGCCAGCTAGTACTCTCCATGGACCTTGGGTGAGACTCAGGACGTGCTGGCTTCAGGTGTGACCCAGCACATTTCCTCTGTGGTTGCTACAGGGAGAGACTCCTGCTTGAGAAAAGGAGAGGGACAAGGAACTTTGTCTTGCAGCTTAGGTACCAACTTGGCCACAGTATGGTAGAGCACCAACTGGGGTCGTGGGGTCCTGAATTCCAGGCCTTGCCTCTTGGATGGCATTTCTGGACCTGCCCTGGGCTGAAGGGGAGCTTGCTGCCCTGAAGGGAGAATCCCAGGCCTGGCAACATTCACCACAAGCTGACTGAAGAGCCCCTGAGCCTGGAGTGAACACTGGCAGTAGCCAGGCCATACTTGCCATGGGCCTGGGGCAGTGGTAGCCAGGGGGAGAAATTACTCTGCTTGTGGAAAGGGGAGGAAAGAGTGGGAGGGACTTTGCCATGTGGCTTGGGTGCCAGCCCAGTTGGCACCAAGAATAGAGCACCAAGTAGATTACTAAGGTTTCTGACTTCAGGCCCTGGTTCCTGGACGGCATCTCTGGACATGCCTGTGGCTGGCAGAAACTTGCTACTCCAAAGGGAAGGATACAAGACTGGCTGACTTTGCCACCTGCTGATTGTAGAGCCATGGGAGCTTCAGTGAACTCTGAGACAAGTGATAACCCCCAGTGGTTACTATGGGCCTTGGGTAACACTCTGCTGTGCTGGCTTTGTCTGACCCAGTGCAGTCCCAGTGGTGGTGGCCACAGGGGTGCTTATGTCACCCCTCCCCTAGCTCTAGGCAGCTCAGCACAGAAAGACTCTGAGAGAATGTAAGACAACAAGAGTCTCTACCTGTAATCTAGAGAATTCTTCCAGAGAATTCTTCTGGATCTTATCTAGGACCATCAAGGTAGCACCAATATGAGTCTGTAAGAGTCAGTGTTACTGGGCTCGGCATGCCCCCTGATACAGATATGGCTGCAGTGACCAAAAACGTAGATCTCAACACCCAAGTCCCTTCAAATACCTGGAAAGTCTTGCCAAAAAGTCTCAGACTGCCAAGACTGCAAAAAATACATCCACAAGCACTGACACCAACTAGGAAAACATGACTGCACTAACTGAATTCAATAAAGTACCAGAGACCAATCCTGGAAATACAGAACTGTGCCCTTTCAGATACAGGATTCAAAATAGCTGTTTTCAGGAAACTCAATGATATTAAAGATAACGCAGAGAAATAATTTAGATTCCTATTGATAAATTTAACAAAGAGACTGAAATAATTAAAAAGAATAAAGCTGAAATTCTGGAGCTGAAAAATGCAGTGGACACGCTGAAGAATGCATCAATCTTTTTTTTTTGAGACAGTATCTCTGTCATCCAGGCTGGAGTGCAGTGGTGTGATCATGGCTCACTGCAGCCTTGACTTCTCGGGCTTAAGTGATCCTCCTACCTCCACCTCCAAAAAAGCGGGGACCACAGGTGCATGCCATCATACCCAACTAAGTTTTTAATGTTTTTTATAGAGATGAGAGTCTCACTTATGTTGACCAAGCTGGTCTCAAACTTCTGGGCTCAAGTGATCCTCTTGCCTTGGCCTCGCAAAATGCTAGGATTATAGGCATGAGCCACCACCTGCAGCCATATCAGTCACTGAACAGCAGAACTGATAAAGCAGAGGAAAGAATTAGTGAGCTTGAAGATAGGCTACCCAAACCTACAGAAAGATATCAATATTCAAGTACAAAAAGGTTATAGAACACCAAGTAGATTCAAATAAGACTACTATTTTAAGACACTTAATAATCAAACTCTTAAAGGTCAATGATAAAGAAAGGATCCATTTAAACACAGCAAGAAAAAAGAAACAACATACCAATGGAAGCTCCAGTATGTCTGGCAGCAGACTTTTCATAGGAAATTTTACATGCTAGGAAAAAGTGGCATGACATATTTAAAGTGCTGAAGGAAAAAAACTCTTATGCTATAACAGTATATCTGGTGAAAACCTTCGAACATGAAGGAGAAATAAAGGCTTTTCCAGACAAACAACAGCTGAGAGATTTCATCAACACCAGACCTGTCCTACAAAAAAATGCTAGCAAGTCCATCAACCTGAGACAAGAAGATTAATGAACAACAAAAAAATATGTGAAAGTACAAACTCACTGGTAACAGTGAGTACACAGAAAATGCAGAATGTTATAACGTAATTGTGGTGTGTAAATTACTTGTATCTTGAATAGAAATATGAGAAGGTGATTCAATACAAATTAACTAAAACAACATTTCAAGACACAGTACAATAAAATATAAATAAAAGCAGGCCAGGTGTGGTGGCTCATGCCTGTAATTCCACCACTTTGGAAGGCTGAGGCGGGTGGATCACGAGGTCAGGAGATCGAGACCATCCTGGCCACCATGAAACCCCCATCTCTACTAAAAACACAAAAAAATTAGCTGGGCGTGGTGGTGCATGCCTGTAGTCCCAGCTACTTGGGAGGCTGAGCCAGGAGAATCACTTGAACCCAGGAGGCAGAGGTTGCAGTGAGCTGAAATCGCACCATTGCACTCCAGCCTGGGTAACAAGAGCGAAACTCTGTCTCAAAAATAAATAAATAAAAATAAAAATAAAAACAATAAAAAGCAGGGAGACAAAGTTAAATTGTAGTGTTTGTACTAGTTTTCTGGTGGCCTGTTTGTTTGTTTATGCAGTCAGTGTTAACTTGTCATCAGTTTAAAATAATAGGTTCTATTATTTGCAAGCCACATGGCAACCTAAAATCAAAAAATGTACAACAGATACACAAAAAGTCAAATGCAAGAAATTAAAAGATACCACTGGAAACAACCACCTTCCCTAAAAGGAAGACAGGAAGGCAGGAAAGGAGGAAAAGAGGACCACAAAACAACATGAAAACAAGTAACAAAAGAGCAGGATTAAGTCGCTACTTAACAGTAACAACACTGAATGTAAATGGACTAACATTTGAATGTAAAACTCTCCAATCAAAAGACAGAGTGGTTGAATGTATTTAAAAAACAACAACAATATAAGACCCAACAATCTGTTGCCTACAAGAAACACACTTCATCTATAAAGACACACACAGACTGAAAATAAATGGATGGAAACCAAAAAATAGCTGGACTAGCTATACTTAAACAAAACAGACTTCAAGACAAAAACTATAAAAATAGACAAGGTCAATACATGACGATAAAGGGGTCAATTCAGCAAGAGGATATAATTGTCAACATTTATGCACCCAACATTGGAGCACCAAGATATATAAAGCAAATATTACTATAGTAAAAGAGAGAGACCCAATAGAATAATTGCTGGAGACTTCAACATTCTACTTTCAGCACTGGACAGATTATTCAGGTAGAAAATCATTAAAGAGGCTGGGTGTGGTGGCTCATGACTGGAATCCCAGCACTTTGGGAGGTTGAGGCGGGCGGATCAGAAGGTCAAGTGATCAGGACCATCCTGGCCAATATGATGAAACTCCATCTCTACTAAAAATACAAAAATTAGCTGGGTATGGTGGTATACACCTGTAGCCCTAGCTACTCAGGAGGCTGAGTCAGGAGAATTGCTTAAACCTGGGAGGCAGAGGTTACAGTGAGCCAACATTGAACCACTGCACTCCAGCCTAGGCAATGGAGTGAGACTCCATCTCAAAAACAAAAACAAAAACAAAAACACACCCCCAGAAAATCAAGAAACTATCAGACTTAATCTCCACTAAAGACTAAAAGGACATAATCGATATATACAGAACATTTCATCCAGTGGCTGCAGAATACACAGTCTCTTCCTCCGCACATGGATCACTCTTAAGGATAGACCACGTTAGGCCATAAACAAGTCTTAAAACATTCAAAAAATTAAAATTATATAAGACTTTCTCTAGCCATAATGGGATAAAACTAGAAATCAATAATGAGGAATTTTGGGAACTGTACAAACACATGGAAATAATATGCTCCTGAATGATCACTGGGTCAATGAAGAAATTAAGAAGAAAATTTAAAAACTGCTTGAAATAAATGATACTGGAAACACAACACACCAAAGCCCATGGGATACAGCAAAAGCAGTACTAAGAGGAAAGTTTATAACTTCAAGCACCTACATCAAACAAGAAGAAAAACTTCAAATAAACAATTTAATGATGTGTCCTAAAAGAACTAGAAAAGCAAGAGCAAAACAATCTCAAAAGTATTAAAATAAATAATAGAGGTTAGAGCAGAAATAAATGAAATTGAAATAAAAATAATATAAAAGATTAAATAAAACCAGCAAACTTTCAGCCAGACTAAGAAAAAAAGCGATAACTCAAGTAAGTAAGATCAGAGATGAAAAAAGAGACATTGTAGCCAATAATGCAGTAATTCAATGGATCATTAGAAGCTACTATGAGCAACCACATGCCTATAAATTAGAAAACCTAGAAGAAATGGATAAATTCCTAGAAAATACCCAACCGAGGGAATGTGTCCTTTTTCTGGGTTCATGAGGAAACGTAGCTTTAAGGGCAAGAATTCCCAGTGCCATGCCCCCCTCCCATCTCTCTCCATCCAGGAGATTTAACAGTTTATATTTTAATTTCGCAGGCATGGGAAGAAACTAAAAGTCAATCACTACAGCAGAAGTTCTAAAGAACTCTTTTCATTGGCCAAGGGTCTTGAAGAAGGTGGGGTTTCCTCTCAGGATAAAAGTCCGTGTCCATACACCTGGCTGCATTTCCCCTCTGGAATCCCCTTCCACACTCTTTGTGGAAATCATTCTCTCTTCTCCTTTCCTTCTCTTTTCTCTACCTAAATAAAATCAACTTTCTGCAACACTTCTTTGGTCTGATATTTACTTTTACAAGCATACAGTGCACCTGCAGTGGTCCCATCGCTTATTCTTTAAAACATTGAAGGCCAAAAACCAACAGCATTCTCTTGGGGGAGCTGTGCCTCACCAGCCCCCAAGAAAAATCCCGGTTACGCTACCAAAATTGAACCATGAAGAAATCCAAAACCTGAACAGCCCAATAACAAGTAATGAGATTGAATCTGTAATAAAAAGTCTCCAAGCAAAGAAAACCCCAGAACTCAATGGCTTCACTGCTAAATTTTATTAAACAATTAAAGAAGAACTGATACCAATCCTAATCAAACTATTCCAAATAATGGAAGAAGAGGGAATACTTCCAAACTCATTCTATGAGGGCAATATTACCCTGATATGAAAACCAGACCAAGACACATTAAAAAAAAAAAAAAAACCAAAGCCCGGGCACGGTGGCTCAAGCCTGTAATCCCAGCACTTTGGGAGGCCGAGGCGGGTGGATCACGAGGTCAAGAGATTGAGACCATCCTGGTCAACATGGTGAAACCCTGTCTCTACTAAAAATACAAAAAATTAGCTGGGCATGGTGGCGTGTGCCTGTAATCCTAGCTACTCAGGAGGCTGAGGCAGGAGAATTGCCTGAACCCAGGAGGCGGAGGTTGCGGTGAGCCGAGATCGTGCCATTGCACTCCAGCCTGGGTAACAAGAGCGAAACTCCGTCTCAAGAAAAAAAAAAAAACCCAAAAAACAAAACTACAGGCCAATATCCCTGGCTGAACATTGATGCAAAAATCCTCAACAAAATACTAGCAAACCAAATTCAGCAACACATTAAAAACATCATTCATCATGACCAAGTGGGATTTATCTCAGTAATGCAGTCAGTTCAACATGTACAAATCGGCCGGGCGTGGTGGCTCAAGCCTGTAATCCCAGCACTTTGGGAGGCCGAGGTGGGTGGATCACGAGGTCAAGAGATCGAGACCATCCTGGTCAACAAGGTTAAACCCCGTCTCCACTAAAAATACAAAAAATTAGCTGGGCATGATGGCACATGTCTGTAATCCCAGCTACTCAGGAGGCTGAGGCAGGAGAATTGCCTGAACCCAGGAGGTGGAGGTTGCAGTGAGCCAAGATCGCGCCATTGCACTCCAGCCTGGGTAACAGGAGCAAAACTCCGTCTCAGGAAAAAAAAAAAAAAAAAAAAAAAGCCTGTACAAATCAATCAACGTGATATATCACATCAACAAAATGAAGGACAAAAACCATATGATCATTTCAACTGGTGTTGAAAAGTACTTAATAAAATTCAACATCCCTTCCATGTTTAAAAAAAAAAAAAAAAAAAAAACCCAGAAACTGAGTACAGAAGGAACACACCTCAATACAATAAAAGCCATATATGACAGACTAACACTATCATACTGAATGAGGAAAAACAAAAAGCATTTCCTCTAACATCTGTAATATGACAGGGGTGCCCACTTTCACCACTGTTACTCAACATGGTAGTAGAAATCCTAGCAAGAGCAATCAGAGAAAGAACTAAACGGCATCCAAATTAAAAAGGAAGAAATCGGGCTGGGCGCGGTGGCTCATGCCTGTAATCCGAGCACTTTGGGAGGCCATCGCTGGCAGATCACAAAGTCAGAAGTTTGAGACCAGCCTGGCCAATATGGTGAAACACCCTCTCGACTAAAAACACAAAAATTAGTCGGGCATGGTGTTGGGCGCCTATAGTCTCAGCTATAGGGAGGCTGAGACAGGAGAATTGCTTGAACCTGGGCGACAGAAGTTGCAGTGAGCTGCGATTGCGCCACTGCTCTCCAGCCTGGGCAACAGAGTGAGACCCTGTCTCAAACAAAGAAACAAAACAAAAAAAGAAAAAAGAAGAAGTCAAATTATCCTTGTTTGCAGATGATATGATCTTCTATCTGAAAAAATCTGAAGATTCCAGTAAACTATCAGAACTGATAAATTCAGTAAAGTTGTGGGATACAAAAGCAACATAGAAAAATCAATAGCATTTCTATATGCCAACAGCAAACAATCTGAAAAAAGAAATCAAGAAACTAATACCATTTACAGTAGTTAAAAATAAAACCCCTAAGAGTTTACGAAAGAATTGAAAAATCTCTACAATGAAAATTATAAAACATTGATGAAAAAAATTGAAAAGGACACAGAAAAAAATGTAAAGATAGTCCAGATTCAGGGATTGAAATAATCAATACTGCTAAAATGTTCATACTACCTAAAGCAATCTACAGATTCAATGCAGTTACTGTCAGATCACTAATGATATTCTTCACAGAAATAGAAAAAAATGCTAAAATTTATATGGAACCACAAAAGACCCAGAGTAGCCAAAGCCTTCCTGAGCAAACAGAAATAAAACTGAAGAAACATGACTTCAAATTATACTACAAAACTACAGTAACCAAAACAGCATGGTATTGACAGAAAAACAGACACATAGGCCAGGAAGGGTGGCTTGTGCCCCTAATCCCAGCACTTTGGGAGGCTGGGGTGGGAAAACTGCTTGAGCCCAGGAGTTTGAGTCATGGGCAACATAGTGAGATCTTGTTACCACAAAAAATTAAAAAATTAGCCAGGCATGGTGGCATGCACCTGTGATCCCCACTACTTGGGAGGCTGAGGCAAGAGGATTATCTAAGCCCAGGAGGTCAAGGCTGCATCAAGCTATGTTCACACCACTGCACTCCAGACTGGGCAACAGAGCAAGATCCTGTCACAAACAGCAACAACAAAGAATAACAACCAGCAGACATGTAGACAAATGGAACAGAAGAGAACCCAGAAACAAATCCATATGTGTCCATTGAACTCATTTCCAGCAATGGTGCCAAGAAATATATTTGGGAAAGAACAGCGTCTTCAACAAATGGTGCTGGGAAAACTGGATATCCATATGCAGAAGAATGAAACTAAGACCCCTATTCTCTTCCAAAACACAAAAATCAAATCAAAATGGATTAAAGACTTAAATCTTTAAGACCTCAAACCATGAAACTACTAAAAGAAAACACTGAAGAAACTCTCTAGGACAATGGACTGGTCAAAGATTCCTTGAGTAATAAATACCTCATAAGCACAGGCAGCCAAAGCAAAAATGGACAAATGGGATCATATCAAGTTAAAAACCTTCTGCACAGGAAGGGAAACAATCAACAAAGTGAAGAGATAATCCACAAAAATGGGAGAAAAATATATGTAAATTATCCATCTGACAAGGAATTAATAACCAGAATATATAAGGAGTTGAAACAACTCGATATGAAAAAAAAAATCTAACAATCTCATTTTAAAAGGGGCAAAAGATCTGAAGATATTTCTCAAGAGAATACATACAAATGGCAGACACGAAAAGGTGTTCAAAATCACTGATCATCAGGTAAATGCAAATCAAAACTACAATGAGATATCATCTCACCCTAGTTAAAATGGCTTTTTATTTTTATTTTTTTAAGTGATGGAGTTTCGTTCTTGTTCCCTAGACTGGAGTGCAGTGGACCAATCTCAGCTCACTGCAACTTCCGCCTCCTGGGTTCAAGTGATTCTCTTTCCTGAGCTTCCTGAGTAGCTGGGATTACAGATGTGTACCACCACACCTGGCTAATTTTTGTATTTTTAGTAGAGATGGGGTTTCTCCATGTTGTCCAGGCTGGTCTTGAACTCCTGACCTCAGATGATGCACCCACCTTTGCCTCCCAAAGTGCTGGGATGACAGATGTGAACCACTGCACCCAGCCTTAAAATGGCTTTTATCCAAAAGACAGGCAATAACAAATGCTGGCCAGGATGTGCAGAAAAGGGAACCCTCATACATTGTTGTTGGGAATGTAAATTAGTACAGCTAGATGGTGAGCAGTCTGGAGGTTCGTTAAATAACTCAAAATAGAACTATCATATAATCCAGAAATCCCATCGCTAAATATATAATCAAAAGAAAGGAAATCAGTGTATTAAAGAGATAATATCTGCACTCCCTTGTTTATTGCTCCCTCATTTATTCACAATAGCTAAGATTTGGAATCAAGCTAAGTGCCAATCAAGAAATGAATGGATAAAGAAAATGTGGTACATACACACCTTGGAGTACTATTCAGTCATAAAAAAAGAATGAGATCCTGTCATTTGCAACAACATGGACAGAAGTGGAGATCATTATGTTAAGTGAAATAAGCCAGGCACAGAAAGACAAACCTCACATGTTCTCATTTTTCAGAGCTAAAAATTAAAATAACTGAACGCATGGAAATAGAGCATAGAATGATGGTTACCAGCAGCTAGGAAGGATAGTGGGTTGGGGAAAATGGGGATGATTAATACATACAAATATAGTTAGAATGAGTAAGATCTAATATTAGATACTACAACTGAGGCAGGGAAAGGAAAGAATAAAAAAATTAACATAAACATAAATTCTTTGTGTCAGACTGAAGACAGCCTACAAACCGCGGCTCTGCAGAAGCTTTGTTAACGTTATCTCAGAAGCCAGAGCTCAAGGGAAAGTGCTCTAAAAACTTTCCCAATACTCCCTCACCATCTGGAGGAAAGCATAAATTTTCTCCCGCATCCCTACCCTCATAATATGAGTAAGCCTAAAAGTTTATAGATATCTGTTTCCTATGTATTACAAACTTGTTTTGTATCTAAATGATACAGTGAAAGCTCTGAGAAATATCCAAACAGTACAGTACTGGAAACATCAAAGAAGTCAAGGAAACAAATCTATACAGAGCCCTGCAGGACTGGTCTGAACTGGCCTAAGCTCAAGATAAGGCCACCTGGCCTGCATACCAAGAGTCATGTGTAAGCCTGTCACTGTATTAATTAACTGCTTTTGTTCTCACTTGTAAGCTTGCTTCTTTTCGTGCCCTTAAATGCAGAAAACACACTTGCTCTCTTTGTCCAATGCTCAGACT